ATATCAGCACTTAATGTTGTTTTTTTTTTTTTTTTTTAATTTTATTTTTTAAAACAAATATAATCAATGAATTTATAAATACTCTTTGGAGAGCGTATCTTAATCTAAAAATTTGTTCAAAATAAATGATTGATATTTAATACAATATTTTATACGTCTTGCCATACTACTATCTTAACCGATGTCTGTCTGGGAGGCGGATACTTTTGGTAACCAGCATCTAATACGTATGCTTTATTTCAGACGTTGAAGACGTCAAGTTTGTCATCAATTTTGACTATCCTTCCTGTTCGGAAGATTACGTTCATCGAATCGGTCGAACAGGGCGTCGGCAAAAAACTGGTACAGCCTATACCTTTTTTACACCTAATAATTCGAATAAGGCTAACGACCTAATCCAGGTATTAAAAGAAGCGAATCAAGTTATAAATCCAAAGCTATTAGAACTTGCCGATAGTAAAAGTGGTGGATATGGCAGGCATAGAGGTATTTGTATACTTTAATTTGATAAAATAAAATTTTTTTAACTTTTATCCTTTATTATTGCAATTTATATTTATTGATGTAATTAATTGATTTAATATTCTTAGGTGGAAGAAATAGATGGCGATCTCGAGGTGGCCGAAATGGAAAAGATCGTAGCTATTCAAGAAGTAGAAGTCGAAGTCATAGTAGAGAATACAACGGTCGTGGTAATCGTCGAAGTTATAGTCGGAGCTATTCCCGGAGTCGTAGTCCTGTTAGTAATCGTACAGGTAAATAATAATAAGTTCATATTATATTATTTACATTTTTATGATTTCAATGAAACAGATTTGCAAATTTTGTATTGTGTAAAAAGATTTGTATGTTTACAGAAGTAATCGGTAAAAGCTATTGGAGCAGCGAAAGATGATCTTCCATGAGCAGTTAATGACCAATTGCATATAATTAATGTTTTTTTTACGTCTCTTTTAAAGTACACACTTAATACACGTCATATAAATTGTAATATTGATATTCCACTAATGTAAACATGTCATATGACGTGTTACGTATAATCTTTGTGCATTACAAATAGATTATATTAGAAATATAAAATAAGTGTTTCCAACGAGCGAGTATACTTTCTTAAAATATAATAGAATGATGTGATCAATTGATAACACATATTAGAATATATTGATTTTAAATAAAGTGAAAAATTATTTAACCAACTTATCGAAATCAAAAACTCTGAATAAAACGAAGAATACAATTTGGTATTGTATCAATATTTATATATATATATATATATATATATATATATATTCTGTATC